CACGCTTCACTCCCTGCATCGCCTTCTGACTTGCCTAGAAGTGCCAGCCGAACCACCAGCCACACCTTGACACCAACATTTCCAACGACTGCTGTTCACAATGTGGACCCCAGAATTACAGATCCCAGAGCTGGAAAGACGGCAAGGGCTCAGGCCATTTAAACCGAGTAAGGTCTTTCTTAAGTCACCATAGTCCAGAGCAGGCAGCCAAGCTTTAGAAGAAGTTAAACTTGCCAAAGGTTACCTCACTGAGAAGCAGCGGTGTCAGCAGCACAGGAGAGCATTTTTCTGTGGATCCTCCTCCAGAGCGATGCCTGCCTCATCCTGGCTGCGCAATAACAACCCGCTAATTTGTGTTTCATGCCAGTCCTCTCTGAGCTCTGTGGTTTTCCATTCCTGAAGCACCTCCCTCGCCTGGCACTGCACGGCCTGGGTCTCACCCCGCCAGCTTCTCTGCCTGTGCTTCTAGGTCTCCTCTTCCTCCTCAGCACAACTTAAATACAGGTGTCCTCAAGCTCTTATCTTAACCCTGTTTCCCAAACTCACGTTCTCATTGCTTCTCAGCTACTAGCAATCACCTCTAATCTCTCTTCCCTTTAAGCCAGCCCGCACACTACCCGGCAGAAGATCCGAAAAGCCCAGCTCTCACTGTGTCACCCACCCCTCAGGAAAACCTTCCCTGGCTTTCACTTTCTGCCAAATCAACATAAAATCCCTTAGCCTGGCACTGAAGACTTCTATAAGTTAGTACTTTCATCTTCTTCTTTCAGTTTCTTCTTTGTAGGCAGCAGCATAATTAGGTGTTAAGGTTGCCCACCTGGCTATCAGCCTTCCTAGGTTTGAGTCTCAGCTCTCTACCTCTGTACAAACCTGAGAGGTTGCTTAACCTCTTTATGCCTCAGTTTCCTCTCCTGTAAAATGGGAATAATCATGCTACCTAATAGGGCTATTTTAAGTAGTAAATAAAAAGCACTTAGGTCAATGTTTGGTACATGGTAAGGACTCGTAATCTTGTTTTAATTCTTCTTTTAAAACTAAGGAAGTATTAGCTGCCCATACACCAAGCCCTCACTAAAAAACTTCCTTCATAACATCTGGGAAAGATCCTACAGAACTCATGGCATCATGTGAATAATAGTTTCCAAAAACTAAGCTGCCATTACAGTGCTAGCTTTCATTCTGCACATTCATTTCAACATTTCAAAGTATCTGTGATAGGAAGCCTTACTCTTTTTCTTCTGAATATAAAATGAAAGGCACTCAAGTTAGTAATAATTCACTCGCAAAACTTGTCTTAGAATTAGACTCTATTTCTGGCTATAGAAGCCACACCCTTTTATGTTTTTTATAATAAAAACTAGAGCCCCGGTGCACAAAAATTTGTGCACTCAGGGGGGGTAGGGGGGTTCCTTAGCCCGGCCTGTGCCCTCTCGCAGTCTGGGACCCCTCAGGAGATAACGACCTGCTGGCTTAGGCCCACTCCCGGGTGGCAGAGGGCAGGCCCAATCCCTAGGTGCAGCCCCTGGTCGGGCTCAGAGCAGGGCTGATTGGGGAGTTGGGGCGCCGCCCTCTGTCATGCACAGAGCAGGGCGGATTGGGAGGTTGTGATGCCACCCTCAGTCACGCTCAGGGTAGGGCCGATTGGGGGGTTGGGGCACCGCCCCCTGTCACACTCAAGGCAGGGTCGATGGGGAGGTTG